AACAAAAATGACAACTACAACAACAAAAAATATATAGTGGGGCGTTGTGGCAGGCTCCTGTAGTCCCAGCTACTTGGGAGGCTGAGGCAAGAGAAGTTCTTGAGCCCAAAAGTCCGAGATTGCTGTGAGCTATGACGCCACAGCACTCTAGGGAGGGCAACATAATAAGATTTTGTCTCAAAAAAAAATAAAATAAAATAAAAAAAGAAAATGTTGGAGTTTGCATGATAAGGGCACATAGTTATGCAGATATGTGCCAGGCCTAGACACTGTCTGCACATTTTCAATAAACAGAAACAATAGAGAAGATGGAAAAATTAAAAGGCACATTTCAAAGCAGAAAATACACACAGCAAATTTACATCAGAAAAGATGTCCAAAATACTAATTTTTTAAAAAACATAAAAATAAAGATAAAATATGCTAATAATTGTTTTCGGTCAGGTTAACAAAGATTTAAATAATAATATCCAGCGCATGTGAAAATGTGGGTAAAAGGTTCTCCCTTGTAGACTTCAGTAAAAAGTGTTAACTGATACAACTGCTCTTAATTTGGTGTATGTCTGACAAGTTATGGAAATGTTCAGGAGATACAGTCTATATAGATGTTTATTGTAGATCACTTGCAGAAGTAAAAAAATAGGAATAACTTCAATGTCCATTAGCAGAGAGGTCAGTTAAACAACTGATAAAGTGCCCATATCATAAAGTACTAGACACAGCAATGGAGCTAATATATATGCACTGGTTAGGAATGATGTCCATATAAAAATAGGTCTAAGCAACAGAGAGTTAGTGTTTGGTTTTAAAAAAAAAAAGGACCAGTTTGCATCATGTAATCATGTATTAAATGATGCGATGTTTTTAAAAAGCAGAAGGAGAAATATGTATATATGTATACATATATACATAGGTAAAATCTGAAAGGATATACTTCAAAATATTAACATTATCTTTCTTTGGTAGATAGAATTATGAAAGCCAATCTTTCTATACTTCTATGCTGTTTAATTTGTTGTAAAATTTGTATATATGTATCTATGTTGTTTTTTTTTT